TTTAGTAGTTTAGGAGAATAGAACTACCAGTTGGTTGGCTTCAGGCCGTGAGAATCATTGTTATCTTCTGGTAACAGGTCCCACTGGGCAGCCTCTCTTGGTATACGTGTCACTCGTTGCTTCGATATATCTTCTCTTACATTCTCCTTTTATCGTTCGAAATATCGTCCCTACCTGCTTGGACATACAGTCACACACACACACACAAACACACACACAACAAATGGAATGTGGAAGCACAACCTTTGCCTTGCTCTTTCATGTTTTTCCATCGTCTAATATTTTCATTAAATATTTCGGTTCGATCTAAAACCTTCTTTTGATTTGTAACTTGTTTTTTCTTTTTTATTCTTTGTTTTTTTTTTGTTCTCTTTTTTTTTATGAAGTAAAAAGAAAAAAATTTCTCTTATAAAACGGTTGGAATTTTTATGAGTCCTTTGAGAATGATCATATTATGAACGTTCCTACTATCAAATTATATATATATATATATTTTGATTAATTATACGTAATGAATATCTATTTCGAATAATTAGTATAATTGCGTTGTCATATTGAATATATGTATAATAATTGTTAATAGCAATATTGAATTGGAAGGAGTAATACAATCTCTCCCCGTTGCATTGCATTAATAAATATAGTGCTAATAAAGAGGATATATATGAAACGCAATATACATGCGAATAGGTTTTTATTTCTTTATTTTTTTCTTTTCTTTCTTCTTTTTCTCCTTTCTTGTTGAAACGCTTTTTGTCATTCGGATTTCTCAATAAATCATTCAGTCGACCTCTGCTGCATTTCAACTGGCAATTTCTTTTTATCGTCTCTCTTCTTTATTTTTTATGTTCAATATTACAATCATCGCCCAAGCACCAAAGCGTTAAGGCCGTGAAATAAAATGAAATAGAATTTTATTAAAATGAATCTTTCAGCCCCTATTACGACTCGTAGTCCCACCCGATTTCCTTTATTTCCTTTTCTTTTTTCTTTCTTTATTGCAGAAAACAAACGTAAAAGATTGATTTTAGATTGAAATTAATATGTGTCTCCGACTGAATAAAATTTAAAAGTTTTCTATTGTTTTGAGTAAATATTTGATCGAGCTTTATTCGTGCACGTTTGCAACAATCTTTTAACGGATCTGAATGATCTATGATATGATAATCCTTATCGTACGTATTTTATAACGATCTAGTGATCTATTGCTACATTTTTTCGAACGCGGAAACATGAAAAACTGGCGTCATAACGATCTTCGCAGTTGCAATAGTTTATCGTTGAAAATGAATAATGCTCGCGATACGATAAAATAACACGAGTAATGAGCATCCTTTAGAGGAAATGAACGATACGTTAAAAAGACGCGAAGCTCGGACGAATAGTGACCCGTGCGAAAAATTTTATAATGGATCGAGAACGATTCGGCTTTTCTTTTTTCTCCTTTTTGCGATGAGTTCCGAGAAATAATTACTGAATAATGATGTGCTCGTTATCTCGAGAAAAATTTTATTATATTATTATTATTATTATTATTATTATTATTATTATTATATATATATATAATATTTAAAATATATATTCGACGAATAAATATTTATTTAACGAAAAATATATATATATATATTTAATAAAACTTTAACAATTAAATGAACAAATTATTTGAAATGTAAATATATCGATATTTTAATATACAATAATAATCATTAATCCGAAAAGTAATGAGAATTATTATGATGGAGTATAGTTATTTTCTTAGATAACGTCAATGGATATTTTTTTGCGACGATAAACTATTCGTGGCTTCGTATTTTGTCATGAAGATCGATGTGAGTTTCGAGAATACTAAAACTTCGAACTATTTCCTTTTTCTTTTCTTCGTAATTGCATCTTGTACATCTTTCAAAATATATCTATTTTATTTCTCTCTCTCTCTCTCTCTCTCTCTCTCTCTCTCTCTCTATGTATATATATATATATATATATATATATATATATATATATAATAAATGAAGGAATATACAAAATAAGATAAAATAAATGAAGGAGAATGTTAGAATGATAAAGAGAGTTATGTCGACGCGCATTAATGGTTATACTCGTGAAAGTATTGTCCTAGGACATAGATAACAGGTACAGTACTTCGTCCTTCTGTAATTCGCGATGTGCGAGCGGTGAATTACGTAACCCTTTAATATCCGATGCAATCCCATCACGGATGCACGCACTCACACGCAAAGCCAGGAACGTAACGGTGTCTCGATTCTCTCCATCTCTCGCGCGCAATTCGGCTAGCATTTCGTCGATTTTCATGGAAATTCGCTTTCGCGCGACTGCCTCGGATTTCATGGTCCATCGAGGTGATCGACGTGTCCACACGTTATGCGAATGCTACTTCTATCATTACCAATCGTAACACCATGACGGACATCTTGTTATTGATGTCATATCTATGAAATTTCCATCAAATGCCAGATCTTTTTTTTTCCTTTTTTATTTTTTTCGTCCTTTTGTTCCTTTTAATATTTCGAGTGTTTACATTCGGAAATTGTTTGATATCGATCCAGAAGTTTTTTTTTTTTTTCTTTTATTTTTTATACTTTTTTTTTTCATTAATCAACAATTTTGAACAATACATTTTGCACAGTGATTGCGCAAATATCGATAATTTCGAATAATCTTTGAACTCGCGCTTATAGGATAAAACTAAACTCTCATAAAATAATATTTTTAATTTTTATTGAATTATTCATAGAATGAAAGATTGTAAATCTTTCAATTTTTTTTTTCCTTCAATTTAATATTCGACCAATTAAAATAATACTTTAATAGGATTCGGATAAAATGAAAGAAATAGAAATGTAAGACGATTAGTTTTGCGGTAAAGTAGAAAACGTTATCAATATATAGATAGATATAAAAGAATAATTTGTATATGTCATTGATTGACATATTACCTGTATATAGATAATACGGTCAAATGTCAAATGTTGCGTGACATTACATATATGTTTTTCTTTTCCAAACATAATCTTCTTGTAATATTCTGTAGCAAATCGATGCTTTAATCGGAAGTAATCGGATTTACAATGTTGAGTTCTGATTCTCAATTGCACACTCCGTTAAACTCTATCCAGTTCCTGTATTAATTTCGTATCGGTTGGATGACTCGTTTCCGAAGGTTTCGAAAGGCTCTAACTGTTCTCGGTTAGATGGACGCCGAAACGAAAAAAAAAAAGAAAAAAGAAAAAAAAAAGAAGGAATAAAAAAACTTTCACGATAAAATTTGATATTTCGTTTGCGTGGAAAATTGAATATTTCTATGTCTGGATTGCATTGATGGAAAAGATGAACATGAGAGGATAGTACAATACCTAAGGGGATAGCAAAATATCTGTAAAAATTTATCAATGAAATATTGAAGCTAGTAACATAAAATTTAAGTCATTATTTAAGTATCATATGAAATATGTTTTTAATAAATTTTTATATTTATGTATGTGTGCGCGCGTGTGTGTGTGCGCGCACACTTGCGCATATTATGACTGATTCTTTTTTTTCACATCATCGCAAATAAAATATACCAAGATTCGATTAATTGGATTTGAAGCTAAATGTTACGTACTGAAAAAATGGTTTACGACGTGATCTGCAAAAAATCAAAGAAAAAGAGAAAAAGAGGAAGAAGAAGAAAAAGAAGAAAGAATGTTCGAAATCCGGCTAAGAAAGAAACGATTCGTAGTTTTAAGAGCGTTGGAGAATCGGTAAAGCACAATGACATATATATCGCTTTCTATCTCTCTCTCTCTCTCTCTTTCTCTCCATCCGCTCGCTTGCTCGCTCGCTCTAGAATCGATGCTACCAGCATTTCCAAAACGATAAGTATCAAAAGTCTACGCTGCAATCCGTCATTCTGTCCAACGTTTCTCTTTCGAAATCGCTCCGAGCAAAATTACGAAGCATCGATAAAGTACGAGAGCGTAATGTTTCCACGCGATGGATTTCGAATCTATTCGAACGAGAGAAATCGTTTGCGTTTCTCTGATAATGTTTGTGAAAGGATGAGTAAGGAGAAGTTTTCATTGAAACGAAAAATATGCAAAAGTTCTTTCATTCATATGTACATATATCGTTCGATAGATCGAAGCTCGTTTGATTGTTAATATCTTCTGATAAAGATACACCGACGACTGCGAAGCAATGAAATCAAAAAAAAAAAAAAATCCTATACACTTAATCACACAATACTGTTTTTATAATCCTATAATTCTAATAGTGCTGATTTCATTGCAAAAAAAAAAAAGAAAAAGAATAAAAAGGAAAGAGAAAGTAAGTACGTTCTTTAAGTCAATCTTCGGTTTAGCCAACACGTAGATTCATGTAAAGAGAGGCTAAAATATTTGTTTCTACTAGTTGACGAAAAAGAAAAAAGAAGGAGAGTAAGAGAGAAATAGAAAAAAAAAAAAAAAAGAAAAAAGAAAAAACAAAAAGGAAATAAAAGTAAACCGAATTCAAGGCGCATCGATTAACAACGTCTATTCTCGAAACGTCGCTTTACAGGATTTCCCATACCCCAAGAGAAATTCTAGTCTCGCAACGACGGCTATCTAATCTTTGTCGACATCAACCGCTTTATCGGATTCTACAGGATTCTGCTTCTCCATTACGATGCTCCACGGTTTCTCGTAATGCAACGCTCGAGGCCTTACGGATTGGATTGTGTGATGGGAATCCTCGGAATAGCCAATGGAGATGATCCTTGTTAGTTCTAAGAGCTTGCATAAGGCTAGTGTTGTATTTCAAATTAAAGATTTTCTTAACTATTCGACTACTTGAATACTCCTTCGTCTGCTCCTTCTCTAAAACTATGTATATATTTGTCTTATGTTTGATCCTATTCAAATACAGTATATGGAAGGTTATAACTTATCTATTTGTACGCGAAAATTTTTTACGTTATAGATATTTTCTAACACACTAATTACTATTTTCTCTTTTAGGAAACGAGATCCTTTATCGTGACGAAGTTGGGAATCTTCTTATCTATAACGTCGAATCGGCATCTTCTAAGATCATCCTCAATATGACCAATACCGTAAGTATATCCAAATTGAAATAAGATACTTAAGTTTCGATTTGAATTTTTCTCAATTTTTTTTTTATTTTCTCAAAGGGGAAAAACTAAAGGTAATTTGCCGTTATTAATTAATCGAAGTAACGATAAGAGACTATTATTGACTTTTATAATTTTTCGTTTGGGTTTTGATTATTCAATCGATCGATCAGAAAACATATTTCCTTTCCTTTTCACCGTTCGATACGAAATAGATATAATCTTCTTGGTTTATTTGCAAAAATAAAGTATTCGTGTTAAAATAGAGAAAGTTCATATAAATAAAAAAAATTTATATATATATATATATACACATGTATATACATTGTATATATATATACGATATTATATATATGTATACACGATCGAACTGAAATTATTTTTCGTTCTAAAACATGGATCGTCGCTTTCGTGCATCGCTGATATTCATCCGTAATTCATGTAATTCTCCTGCAGCTTTCTCGGGAATCGAGAACAACAGACGAATCCTACAGTAATTGCTCGTTATTTATCAAGTCGTGACGTGAGTAATTGATCGCTGGCAACACGCCTTACCGTTTACCACGGGTCGACCATTAGAAGATGATTAATGACTGGTCTTACGATATTGTTTCGCGCGGCTATTTTTAATTTAGATATATGTATTTCTTTTGCCATTGAAAAAAAATAAAACGATAAAAAAAAAAAAAAAAAAAAAAGAAAATAGGAAAAAAAAGAGAAAAAAAACAAGGAAACAGGTCATCCATAAGTTCGATCGTGTCAATGAACAATTTAATCATCGTTTGAGATCTAGTATGAATAAAACGAAAAATAAAAAAAAAAAAAAAATTGGAAAAAGTATGAAAAGATGTGGTAAAATAGAAAAAAATGATAGATCTATTAAAGTAGTCCGAGTTTTTAATTCTCGTGGGTGAATTATTTTGTCGGAAAATCATTTAAAAATATTCCATTAAAACGAGAATAAGTTAGTAATATTAATAAAAATAACATTATATATTAAATGTCAATAAACAGTATAAAACTGTATGTATTATATTGTTCTTGATTAAAAGCATATCTTTTCTAATTATTTTCTCTCTATAAACATTGTGGATAAACTAAACGCGTTAAGCCAATAAAGGCGATGGTTAAGCATATTTCGTAAGGAGGGCAGGAAAATGTGCAAGTTTTGGGTTTGTTTTAACGGGAACGATTTTAAACAAGGAGAATGGACTAAAGCCGATTAGAAGTTGGCGAGTTCGCTTAACGGCAATCGCGCTTCATTCGAGTCTCGTTTTAACGAATTTAATGCTTACTTTCTCTAACTTTTGACATAGCGTTTTTTTTTCTTTTCTAACTTCTCTTTCTTTTCTTTTCTTTTTTTTCTTTGTCTTTTACCAATTATCGACACTTCAGCGCGCGTACCTTTGAGAGTTACTTAAAAATAATTTTTCTTCAAAAACTTCGCATAAAATTGGCGAATCTCCGGTATTAATTTTATTAAAAGAAAAGAGATATGATTTTGTTAATATATGAATTTCGTGTGATCGATTTAAAGATGATTTAATTGAGAAAACAATTAGACAATCGTTCAATAAAGACATTTTATTAAGAGTCCTTCATTCATTCAAGAACGTCACAATCTTTAAAAATAAAACCGAGCATCCTTATTCGTCCATTTGTATAAAAATCGTGGAAACGATATTTCTCTCTCTCTTTTTTTTTTCTCTATTTCTTTTCTCTTATTTAATTTTCACATCCCTTCCTCTCTTTCTCTTTTCTTTCTTTCTCTTCTCTTTCTTTTTTTATTTTTTTTTTCTTTCTTTTTTTTCCCACCTACGTGAAACTAGTTGACGCGTTTCGCATTTTATAACTTCAAGTAACTTTTTAATTTCGTGCACGATTCGCGCGACACGATTTATAACGCTTAATGAGTGCCGCTAGGTCCCACAAGTTAATTGGAATTATTAATCGAAATTATAGCCGCGTAAGTTTTCGAATTATTCCCAGACGTGCGTAGTAGGAAGCTTTGCGATAATTACACTCTCATTGGAGGATTTCACCTTTCCTGTTTTTTATTTGTTTTTTTTTTCTTTTTTTTTCTTTCTTTTAATCTCTCTCTCTCTCTCTCTCTCTCTCTCTCTCTCTCTCTCTTCTACCTCTTTCTCTTGTTACACAATTTTATTTTAATTCGTACTTTTCTCTTTCTTTATTATATACAGGCGCTCCTGTCCAGCTTTGATCATCAAATATCTGCCGACCGGAAATATCTTCTACTTGCTATTAACTATCAGAAG